AGCCACTAGTGACTATATTTTATTAATTTAGTAGGGGCATCTGTTTTATTAGTTATGCTCAAACATGCTAAGTGCATGTTTGAGCATAACAACAAAATGTGTGCAAAATGAGTAAATTGTTGCCTTTTACGACATTAGTGGTGTTAAAATTATTGTACTTTCATTAAGGTGGAATTCTTTTTATAGGTGCTTTGAAACAATGCTGCATATTTATCAATAAATGGGAAAAAAAAAGTTAAGTTAGTTTTCTCTGGAGCAGCTCTCTTGTCTGCAGTCTCTGGATAAAGTCACGTTAGAGCCCAAAGGACTCCATTCTTCTCCTGGCACAGAGGGAATAGGAAAAAGGGTAGAAAAGGGATAGGTAAACAGAGCCATTAGAGACAAATCTATTTCTGAAGAAAACAAAATCACATCATCAAACAAGAGAAAAAGAAAAATATGACCCTGCAGCCCTTCGGGCCTAGGCATTGCAATGATAGCGGACTATGGCATTTGTCTTTATCAGTCTGCCTTGAGGGAGGGGGAGGGTGGTGGGAAGGTGTAAGAGAAGAGAAAAGGAGAAAGACTGTGGAAAGAAAAAGCTCTGCACCTTCTTTACTCATCACAAAATTGCAGACCCATCTGTTACTTCACTTTCTTCATGGAACATGAAAGCACGAGCATGATTATTCCTCTTCCATACATGTTTTGTGGCTTTGCCGCTTGTGGGCTCTTAGATGGTCATTCTTTAAATATAGCATTGTGAAGCACTCACTGGACGAGAGCCTCATCAGTCATGGCTCGCCGGGGGAAACTTGCACAGTTTCATCAAAATGACAGGATTGACTTTCCAGATTTTCTCTTCTCTCTTTGACATTTGGTTGTTTATTCTGCTTTGTAACACTAACAACAAAGATTGCTTTAAAGCGTCATGCATTCATGTACAGTATATATTTAGATATATCTGTTGAAAATACTCCCCTTAAAATAACCACCTGCATGCCAGGTTGATAAAAAGACAGATGGAGTCATGCTTTCATTTTTATGCCATATTTGGACACTTCCATTTGAATCTTGCAGGTAGAATTAAGACTCTTTGGATCAGGTAGCTATTTCTGATCTTTCCCCTGTTTTCTGTTCTTAGCTAACAAAGCTGTTTGTTTTTGCACCCCTTTGTTGTGGTTAACTGATTAGTTATTTGGGTATAACTAACCAGTGGAACAAATAATCATGAATGAATAAAATACTTTGTGAAATAAATGTAGTGTTGAGAATGCAATTTTAAATCTCTATCATATCCCACTCATGCATTGACTGGCCTCTGCTTTGTTAAATAATATTTTACAGCAGGAACGTTTTGATCTTTGCTCCTTTAGGCATCACTAATACTGTGTTTCAAATTCTATTGGTAAGAAATTTGCACTTTGAAGCTTATTTCTTCCTGTTGCCGTAGTTGATTGGTGTTTTCTGTGTTCCATTTGTGAGGGCTTCATATTATCATTGTGCTTAAAGCTATTGTGGAGGATTTTCTTGATTTTTTTTTCATGTCCAAGAGCATGCATATGACCATTTCTCCTTGTGCACGCTCTGTTTAATAGTTGCTGTTCTCATTGCTCAAACAAGTTTACTGTGCCTGAAGGTCCGCCCTAACCCCTAAATCCCTCAATCGCTGCAGAGCGGGGACTTTATAGTGAACTCAGTTAACTTACCGTTCAGACAGATGATACCTTCCCTGTTGGTCCACTGCACAATGCCTGCGCCATCTTTGGTATTAGTCACTGCTGTCGGTTAGCGGCAGCCTATGGTGACAGCGGGCTGCTGTGACAGCAAATCCCATAATGCTTTGTGAGGAGAGCTCTGTGCAAAGCATTCTGGGATATATCTGCCTCTTCTGAGGCCTTTCTTTTCTTCTCATACACTTCGTAGACACATTTTCACCTACGAACCTCGGCCATTTTCAAAGAGCAGCAGTGAGAAAAGTGAGCTTTTGTGACTGTCTGAAACCGTAGCTCACCACAGATATAGGCACGCATGCTCAAAAAGCACGTAAGACAACCTTACGTAAACATATCACCAGAATGATTGACAATTAGGAGGACCACTTTTTTAGATGATCCACCCAGAAATAAAAGATCGTCCTCTATACCTTTAACCCGAACTCTGGGCTTGCTTAACTCAGTCGAGTTTGCGGATATATGTCACATGTTCTGAAACCAAAAGTCCTGAATATCACAGAGCCAAATAAACTGACTCCTGATAACTGCTCTACTCAAATTATGTTAATCCCACTTTCTGAAACAGGGATATTATGATTTGGCCTATAAATACAACTATGTTCAAAAGATTCTGAATAACTCTTAGAAGGAAATTACAACCACTTTTGGATAACACAAAGAGGATTTTAAAATGTTTGAAATAACTGTGGTTTCTATTTGTTCTTGCTGTCTGTGTGTTACACGCCCCTCTTGAGTGGGCCACAATATTAGGTATGGGGGGAAATGCTGCATGGAGTATAAATACTGCAACTTCTGTGTTCGTTTTGTCTCATCTCCACATGGAACGTACAAATAAATATGACCCCACCCTAAGAGTTGGAGTAATTGTAGTTTTGCAAGTGCATGCCCACCTACCACAGTTGCACAAATAGAACATTTCGGGAAGTTAAAGAATTAACACAGTGAATTTCATAGCTTTTATTTAATGGGTTCTGAGAAACGTCTGGGGCAATCCACAGACTCCCCAAAGTCATTAGGATTCATTGCAGGGAATCAGAAATGTCAGGGCAGTCCATCTAATAGTTTCTGAAAAGAGGACCAAAGGGCTGAACAAATGATGTTGCCTCCCTCAAAAGTATTTGCATTTGTCCTTTTATGCTATATCAGGTGCTTTCGCATCATAACAAAAATGGACTGTGGGGATCTTTTTCCTATTTATGTGGCAGAGCATTCTGTCCACAATCACAGATGATGAGCAAGATCTGACAAATGCCTTATCATTATGTCTCTCCAACGCTACTCAGTTTTTTAGATTTTTTATTCTTTTGCTCATAGCAGAAAGTAACTGTAAAGTAACATAGCAGAAAGGACTGTATGCATTACATTCAAGCTCACAGCTAGTAAGTGGCTGTGCTGTTTTCTTCCCTTCTTCCTTCTCTTTTCAATTTATACCCCTGGGAAATTTGGCTTTGTCGGAAATCTTTTTAGTCTTGCTGACCAGCTTTTATTTTTCCTTACCAGTTTGCAATTTGCCATGGTATTCCTAATAACTTGGACAGCTAATTGTCTGCAAAACAGATTATTTTCCGTAACTCTGTATTGCTGACAGTTATCATAATGTCGTATGTTTGAAAACACGTGTGTGAAGACAGTTTTTCATGGCTAGATTAAGTTTTTAGGTGTCTCCCTGAAGACATTAACTACATATAAAGCAACTTGACAACCTTTACAAGCATCACAAAATATTCTAAATACTCTTTGTAGAAAATACCCAGGTATTACTTTACAGAACTATCTTGGGGATAAAGTATTAAAAAACGAGAGCATATTAAAGCAGCAACATCAAAACTGTGACATGTGAGCAGTGTGTAGCAGAAGGCAGGGGGTATGGTAGTGCCAACATCATGTAAAATGCCTTGCCAGTGCTTTCTGAGTGAAATGACAACACAGCCTTGTGCCATTGGTAAACTATCTACCATCTGGTCACAGTTTCAGGATTCAAAAGTCCTAATTAGTAGCTCTTTCTCTGTCCACATTAATAAAAGGTATCAACCTATTTGTGTTTTTTTGTTTTTTGCTTCTACATTGTTTTTGAAGGGAACATGAGACAACCTTTTGGTCTACATTGGCATGGAAATGGCAATCTTGACCCAAAGCCATTATTTATATCATGTTGTGTTTAGCTATTTTTGCACCATGGAATATTTATAAAAGCCTTGACTGCCTCTACAAAAAACTCCCTGCCAAATAGCAAACTAATGGTGATAGATGTTGTGGTAGTTCTGCTCTTATTTTAGCTCTGCAGGAGCTAATAGGTTCTAACTTTTTTACCTATTTCTCCCCCTCTGTCTTCTTTGGTTTAGGTCAGAACATTTCATTCCCTCCAGTGGCTCTCTGGGTTACTGTAGGCCTGGCTGTGTGTCTGCTGGGTCTACTCATTGCATTGGCTGCTGTCTGCCGCAGGAAGATCAAGGAAAGCTGTGAGGAGGCCAGGAGAGAAGGTAACAGGGAAAAAGAAGTTATGCTTTAAGTCTTTGTATTTTTGCTATTTATTGTGGAATACACCGTTGGAAGGAGGTATTCAGTCTGAAAAGGTACCCGGAAAACCACTACTTAGGAGTTGCTATGATTTAAAGGAGACCTATCATGATATAATGTATATATATAATGATGTTCTTCCGTTGCAGTCTCTTTTGTTTTTAGAAAGTCTAAATGCTAAAATATCCAGCTGTTTTTTAATACAGAAATGAAAAAGCCCTGAACGCTGAAACAGACAATTTGGAATACTGCAAAAAAGTTCTAAAAATAAGTAAAAAATTCTAAAAATAAGTGTATATACCCTTAATAGCAGGAATACCCTTTAGCAGGAAAATAAGATGATCTACCAATGGAATGAACATTTTTATCCTTAAAATTAGATAATTAGATATTATGCATTTGGAATAAAAGACTGCAGGTGCTTTTTTTTTATCATACTAAAAGTAAAAAATTCACCTTTTTTTCAGAAAAAATGACTAACCTAGATGTCATTTTTTGCAGTGAAAGGAAATCAAGATAGGCATAACTTTGGAAGTGAAACCTCATTATCTGTGAATGATTTGTGACAGACCGTGGCAAATTCATGAAAAGTCATTTTGAGTTAAAAGAGCTTTATTTTAACATCTTTATTGCAATAGCACTTAAAGGAGGAGTCCTGTTTATTTGTTTCCTCATTTTGATTCCTCTTAAAATAAGATGTCTTCATCAAATTCCCCCCTTAATAGGTAAAATACAGTTAAGGCTGAAATATAATCACATTGCGTTGTCCACCCAATCTGTGCGTGCCATGTGCAAGCCCATACTACACTTTTATAGTTGGCGCGGATGAAGGTGCAGTACTTGCGAAAACCACAGAGGGGCAGTGATCAAGATAACATGCGGAAAGGCAGCAAAAAAAGAGAAAAAAAACAACTGTTGACATCGCACTTCCAACATAGTAGAACACAGTATTGTTTATTTAATAATTTATGATTATTGAAGTATAATAGGCGTGTTACACAGAAATAAACAAATAAATCAGTTGGATTGGTTGGTTGACTGAAAAGATCTCTGGCTTTCAGCACTTCTACAGTCTTCTGGAAGTTTTTTCCAGATAAGTGAACCATAGGAACTATATGCTGCTCCTTCATGTTTGCTTTTGGTGTCACTATGGCACAGCATGTGAGTGCAAATGCACCGAAAGAATCGCATCTCATCCAATCCCATTTATTAGTAGGCATGTCCTTACAATAAGCAGCTTAATAGCCATCATGCATTTCAAAAGCCTGCACTGAGCCAATGTATGACGCTCTAGAAATTAGTGGTGGGTTTTAGCCCTTTCTCAATATGTAAATTTAGCTGGGTGAGTTTTATAACTTGTACATTTTGCAATAAAACCAAAATAACTATTTTTTTTCATAATTTGATGGTTTTTTGTCTTATTGTTCCCACTTATGACACATCACTTTTTGCGTAAACAATATAATGAATATTTATATATATATTCATATATGTATAATATATCGCACAAAACCCAGTTTAAAGCCTGGAACAATTGGCTTTTAGTAGCAGCTGGAACAGCTCACTGATGCGTGTCTAACCAGGTCAAACGATTCTGGAAGCGACCCGTGTTAAAATCTCGTCGGTTCTGATTGGCATGCAGTGAAAACATTAGACCCGGTTTAACCAGCTAAATTACGTGATTCCATTGAACGTAACGTACGGAAATCTACACGCAGCAGATCGGGTAAGAGGAATTCGGACAGATAATAGAGTGAAACAATAAAGCACACGTATTACACCCTTGCCTCACATGTTCCTCTCCATTGTTTACGTTTCTGATTTCTGTCACACTGGTGACAGAATCGGCGCTAACCCAGCGTGATGCCACGGGGGACAGAGGCTACGCAGATTGCCAGCGAGGGCTTAGAGCCAGCTTTTCTTGCTGGTGGTAAGGAAGCCAAATGTCGATTGTAAGCAGTGGGGAAGAGACTCAAGACTTGCACTCTGAAGATTTAGGAGTTCACATACGTTTGGTGTAAACTGGAGTTTCATGAACAATTTGTATTTCACATATGCTAATAAGTTACATTTATGTTTTGTTTTTTGAGACAAAAAACCCTGCAAACATTTATGTTTGTAGCAAATAAGTTAGAACAAAAGCAGACAATTTTTTTTTTTTGGACTGTTGAGTTACACTGTAAATCACCTGTTTTAACCTATGATGTTCTCCGGCCATGGGTTAAATGAAACATACCTTAAACTTCTCCAATAACTTGCCAACAATGCATACAAATGTTGCAGCGTTGGTGTAGGAGGAAGAATGACTCTAAAGCAAGATGGAGCTGAAAGCGATGATGAGATGTTAACCGCTCAACGAACTTTGAGAATCCAGAGGGAGCTTTGCTTAATGCATATAGCAGGATCGCAAATGGTGGGACACATATCTGTGACAGGGAGGAACATCATTATTCGGGTCCAGTAATTAGCATCGCAGAATGGCTGAGTGTCCCCGCAAGTGCAAAAGGAAAAAAAGTTTTGAAATGAGATAGATACCACAAAGCCACCAGCTCTGCTGTAATGAGTTCTGTTCATAGTGGAGGAGACATTTAAATAAAGGTCAGCCAGAGTCTGCAACAGGGCTTCAGAGGTTTAAAAATAAATATGGAAGTGACACAGACTCAGAGAAAGAGTAAATAGCTGCATGGAACATATAAAATCAAATGAAATGGAAAGAGAGAAATATAATGCAGTTCTTCCCACCGGCATGGGCCTCGGAGGGTTGGGCCCTCTTCTTCAGTGAACTGGATGAGGTGCTGATTCTCTCGCCGGCAGCCCGGACACTGAAGGCGGGATTCATTATGTGGTCATCCACTGCCTGCCTTATTGAAATGTTAAATCTTTTTTTGTCCCCTGCTAGCAATGCTTCTGGGGTCTTACAGCTTTTTCAGTCACAAATCTGAACACTTCTTTACAAATCATGCAGACTATTATACCCCTGATGGAGAGATAGTGTTGGAAAATGGATGGGAAAGAGGCTCAAAACAGGGCAGCTATACACACATCCAAAGCTCTTGTGGGGGAAGCAAACAAGGATGTGCAAACTAATTGTGGTTGTCTTATCTTTTAATGGTATTTTTGGGTCTAACCAGATTGAAGTTGACTCTCTCTTCACTGTGACTGGATAGGGAGGGTAGAAAGGTCAGTAAACGTGGAGAAGTGGGTAAGTCATTTTTCTTCCCTGTCATAATCAATGTGGAGCACTAGAATGTGTATCATAACTGAGCAGAGCAGCTTGTGGTATTACAGCTTTTACCAGAGTCAGTGTCAGTGTGTGTAGGAGCACCAGCATGGCACTGTTCTCTTAAATATTCTATTACCTCCTTCATCCTTCACTGTTGACATCTTTATATAATAGCTATGTAGAGTAGGCTGTGTTTCTAATGCATGCCTCCACTGGCCTATCCAAAGTCAGTCATCCATCTCTTCTCAACTCTTTTTACATTCAGACAAGCATGTGATTTAATCAAACTTTCTCTTGGGATCATGCAGAATTGACATGGGAACATTTTCCTTCGGTGTGAGTAAAATATCTCATCTGTGTTTCCCCCTGTGGGATTTTTAACAATGGGGCACACATGTTTTCACAGAGATTAACCCTTCGGTAAAAAGAGCTTGAAAGAGCAAAACACTATGTCTTATCAAGAGCTGGTTTTAAAAAGAATGAAAAAAACAAACAAAATGCTGTAAAAATCTTGGGGCTATAAAATGTAAAGACTTTTTGCAAAATGGTTTAATGTGTGTGTGGTTTAAAATAATTAACTGAACCATAATTATATACATATAGTTCTTTGAAAAACCACTCATGCCCAATGGCTTTTTTTTTTATTTAACCTTTTGCCATTGTGCAAATGCAAAATTGGTTTATTTTCTATTTGGATGTCATGTAATAGATCATTTTCACATTTGTTTAATAAAAAACTAAACACATGTGAAGTTGAATACATATATAGATGTTTGGATGTCAGAGACATATTTCTGAATTACAATCTTAAAGGTATGGCCTGCAATTGTATTCAGTACCCCAGGTGTAGAAGCCTTTTTGGCTGCAAATGCAGCTTAAAGTAGGGTGACCAAACGTCCTCTTTTTCATGTCTACTTTTTACATTCTGTCTGTGGCCTCCGGAGGGGGATTATAAATTAACGTTTTCATGGGACCTAATCATATGCTTAAATCGACTGGCGCACAGAGTACTATGGTACTTTGTTGCTCGACATAATCTTGAGGGACTGCCTTGTGAGAGGGTCTAGCGAGACATCCACACACACAGGGAGTAGATCAACCAGCATTGGACACAAAATACCGAAACAAAAGTGCAGCTTCACAGATGAACCTCAAAAAAGTATGCACATTCCTTCCTGGTCACGACAAGTGGGAGGCTGAGTGCACCGTGTGCAAAGCTGGCACATATGTTTCAGTGTCTAATAAAGGTCCTGGAGATCTCAAAGATCACATGGACACTGAAAAAAAAAAAAAAAGCTTTCTGAGGTGACAGCTCTGCCAAAGTTTACTAAGAAACTTTACTGAAATTTGGGGCCCTAGGCAAATGTAGAAGATAACACATAAAACAGAACCGTTATACAGATATTTAATAGAATATACATTATTTGTTCTACGTTTTGTCCCTCTCTTTTTGTCCCTTTTCTTGTTGTTTTCCTCTCTATGTTTTGTTCTCAGCTGACTTTTCATGCTGTCTCAAAAGGAATTAAATTTTTTTTCAGAAGCACTATCACTTAGCTGATTGCTCCTTCCTGTGTTTCCAAAAAGGCGACGGCAAAAGTAAATAACCCAGTCCTTCTTCTCACTGTAGACAAACCATGATCTGCTTCTCTGTTCTCCATTTTTCATTGGTATGAAATAATAGCTGCATGAATCATGACAGCAAGATAGAGGAGAGCAGGAGGCGGGGTTACCAATCTACTTGCTCTGGAGAGCAGAGTTAGGTGCTTTTATATGTCGTTGCCATAGTCCCCACTAGCAGAAAAAAGTAGCTAGATCTGGCGCTAGGCGCTTTTTTGAAATAAAAGTGCTGGAGGCACTATTATTTATTGGCAACACTGCTCTTCACAGTGTCTTAGTTGGTTTTGAAATGGTCTGCTGCTTTTTGGACCTTTCTGAACATGTGCAGCAAATGGACTGATGGACTGATCCAATGTGGTGGACAC